CAGTATTTATTTTTTACACCCATGTACAAGACCGCACCTGTTTTTCTGCCAATAATAGCAGCAGCGCCTAAGAAAGTTTTCTTGTTCACTGAGAATAGTGTTATTGTTTAGTTTTCACACGACAAAACTAAAAAAAAACAGATATTCCATTTATATAAATACAAAAACTAACGTACTATGATCAATAGAAATTGATTTCTGTAGGGTCTCAACCACGCCTGTGAATATGCTTTGTCTCATCGAAGTGCTGCAAAATAACAATAAATAAACTTATATTACTGTTGAATTCCACATAATTTAAATGTGCCTGACTATAACAAAATTAGAGATTTCTAATAACATTTTCTGATTACCTTCTTTCTATACTACCAATGAATACTGTTTATTTACCGTACTCACATGCATACTGATTTTTTTAGACTGTGGCGCAGTTAAACTCATGTGTTTGTAAAATTTTACCATTTTTGTGTTTTATAAACATTGAAATAATTTACTAATAAAATAGAAGGCATAATTATATTAAAATTAACTTATAAGTATTCTGTTGAAGCTCTGTGAAAACGAATTTTACGTATTTGCGCGGGGGAATTTCACGGAGCAAAATGACGTGCGTCCGACCTCAAACAAGGCTCAGCGAGCTCTGACAGGCGAACTTCGCCGCCGTAAGGAAGCGCAAAAACATATTTTTTGGTTTCTTTTTTTATAAGTACAACTATGTGAAAATGTATCCTTACAAATCCCTAAAAAAAATGAGCTCTATTTTTTGGTATAATTTTTACGTGAATCCATGGTGGAATTTTACAACAATTTCTATTTGAAATCGTGAGTTAGTGCTATGTTTGAGTTTTTTTTTATCGACCCAAATTCCATAAATCATGTTTCCATCTTTACGGATCTCTAGATTATATGTTTAATTTTTTTTAAATATTTATTTTCATGCACAATAAATGCATATTAGGGTATTTATTTCTCTTCAAAAAAGTGCAAAATCGCTGCAACCTCGCCTTAAAGAGTACGTTACATTACGGGCCTGTTAATCTAGTGGTAATGACCACTAGATTAATCAAATTAATTAATTAATTAATTTTAAAATTAAATTAATTAATAAGATTAATTATTCATTACAAATAACTGTTATTCAGGATCCATTGATTACAATGGATCCTGAATAGCAGTCATTTATTCTGTAACCGCGTGTAATTTTAAATAACTAGCTTTTGGCCGCGGCTCCACCCGCGTGTATTATGGTTATCGTGATAAAAAGTAGGCGATGTTACTCGCTGATAATGTAACTTCCCATTGGTAAAAGAAGTTTTAATACGTTCGTTGGCGTTACGTAGAGATGTAGCTTCACTCTGCATTCTCTATCGCATATATCATGGAGAGTGCTCCGAGGAATTGTTCGGACTAATACCAGCCGAAAATTTCCGCCATCGTTCCACACGTCAAAATTTTCATCCTTATTACCTGGATAGTTGGCGCTCCACTACTGAGTTCTTTTCAAGACAATTTTTGCCTTTGTGACTCCTGAGTTGCAGACGTTCATGGGCGGCGATGGTCACTTTCCATCAGGAGACCCGTCTGCTCGTCTGCCTAACATAAAAAATAATAATAATATCGGTTTAGTATTATAGCCGTGAAAGCGTAACAAACAAACAAACAAACTTACTTTCACATTAATAAGATGTGATGTTTTTATTATTATTCAAACAAAATGTACTAATAGGGTGTTTCCAAAGAAAAACGTTTTCAGCAACAAAGAAAAATGCTAAGTATCACTCGTAAGGTTGCATCTGTAAAGTGCAGATGGTGTCATAAATTTTCCTCGTAATATGCGGTTTAAATGGCTATAAAATAAACCATTACTGTCTTTTATAAAGGATACTTGAAGAGATGGAATTCTTTATTGTCCCAATTTGTTTTCAGTTTTAAACGTTTGTTTTAATATTCTACCTTTTTTAATATTCTACTAATATTGTGCTAGCCGGCACTTTATCATTATTATTATAACTTCTTTATTTCCATAATGAATAAATTATAACTAACTAAAAATAAAAAATAAAAACAATTATAAATATATCGTGAATTTCTAAAACGAAGTGAAGTCTAAAGAATTAAAAAAATATTATAATATGCTTCACGTGTGTACAGATGTAACTTACTAATAAAGGAGTAACTTAGTTAAATATTTTTATTGGTCAAACATGCTATAGATAGTTCAACTCAGTTGTGCGCGCGGCCCGATGTGTGCGTGGGCTTGTAAATATACAACTTTCATTCATGTGCTGCTCGGACGACGACTGCCGCGTCACTGCCACACGAATGAAAGTTGTATATTTACAAGCCCACGCACACATAGGGCCGCGCGCACAACTGAGTTGAACTATCTATAATTTGTAATACAATAAAATAAAGCGCAGTTTTTTTTTTAATTTATCGATTTTAAATCTGATTACAGATATTACAAGCGAGGGCTGCTTCTGCTCAGAAAAGAGCACAGAAGATGATAAAACCAATTCGCGAGATGGACAGTCTGGATATAGAACATGTTGGTATAGAATTGTCACTTATTTGACTAAGTTTTTATCACTGTTTTAGTTATATATAAAGCTCACTCGGTATTATTAACGTTAAGAAATAATGTTTAGTCAAATAAATCACTAATTAATCGAGTCATAGGCCAGGAATAGCCATAGGAAATCACTGTAAGTTTATAAAATGGAATACCTTTTATCTGCTTTATCAATTAATTCCATGGATGCCAGTTGTCACGTTAGTATGTGTTTCAAATCAGGTAAATATGTTTACTTTACTTTTAGGCGCTAATTCAACACTTTTCATAATAATCGCTTAGTTTATTGGTGACAGGTAATCGTCATGACCGCTTAGATATGTCTAACTTAAGTTAAAGAAACATTAGACAAAAACTTTATTAACAAATTGTAACTACTACATATATGTAGTAAATAAGTAAAAAATAGATCACAAATATTTGAGAAATCCCTTTGCGAAATCATTTTTGTTGTTGTTTTTTCCTAATTTTTAGGAACTCGGCATTAACTTAAACTTATTTACTTGTTTCAATTATATCTAATATGTATTTCTCCTTTCATTTCGTTTAATGAAAAAGAAAGAGTAGAAAGAAGAAATAAAGAAAAAGAAAGAATAGTCTCTGCTGATTACCTTAGAGAAGTAGTAGATGAACAATAACCGATCTTCCCAAAACAACAAACAAAATTGTACCAGATTGATTTATTTTCTGAAAGAAAACAGCTTAATATTGTAATCCCGTTGTAAAGCGCAGTAAACTATTTAAGCAATTAAAGTGAGCCATGCTCTGAGCTAACTTAATTAGTGCAAAGCGATAAGAACGCTCAACCCGAACTTAAAACCCGTCTCCTTATAATATTTAGTCTTAAATTGTTTTACAAACAACAAAGAAGTTTCGCTTTACTTTGTTTCAGTTTTAGTGCAATTCGTTTAGCGTGCTTGCTCATATTTTTATCTTAAACTAAGTGACCGAGTTTTGTTAATCCGCATTTATCAAAGAGTTTTATAGGTCTGTGCCATCTAGCGAGAATAAGCAGAACTACGTTGTACTTAATGATCCTGTGTCACGCAATGCAAGTGCCTACGTTTAATATTGTATACAGTTTTCCTCTTACACTGTTCGGCCATCGCGATGACCTGTCTTAGTAGGAAAATTCTTCCGTCTTACCATTTTATTTGAGTAATATCATACGCGTTCCTACTATGAATGAAATGCCTTCTGATGACTTCAGAAACTTTAATAAATCCAATCTCAACATCAACGTTACCGAGAAACGCGTTAAATGTTAACAAAAAAATCTCGTGAAATTATTATCTATTACCTGATAGTGATAGGGTTAATTCTTTCTTTTTAAATTGTAGAAACGAGTAATTATAATCATCGGCGGATCAATGATTTGATCGAAGTTAGAGACCATTCTTCCAGTACTATTCTTAGCGTGGACCGGTGATCTGGTTAGAATAACTGCTGTACAAGAACAACTTCATAATTTGTGTAACCTACACAAGTTTGCGGTTTACTTTACTCGTATAACCTAAAAAGTTTGGTATACTATTTAGTGTTCATTACAGTAGGACTTCATTCCGCCGTCCGTTTGCTTTAATACACCGCTATGTTGCACTTACATTTTGTAATGCTTTGTGCTTCCCTAACGAACACATTATCCATAGTACGTGTGTCAGACTGTTTAATATTTGATTTATGTGCCTTCAACCTTTTTTGATGATAAAGGGACCAAACACGCAGGTAAATGACCTGATGGTACTTGACTGATGCGTTTGAGTACCCCTGCCGTTAGGTGGGGGGGTAAGACATGGCTCTCCAACATAAATATAACACAGAGAAGTGTAACAATAAATAAAACCCTGGATAGAAGTGTATATGTCATAGAGAGGTCGTTGCAAACCTATCGGCTCCTTATACCTATTTCATCATCATCAACAGCCTTTAATAGTCCACTGCTGGACATAGGCCTCTCCTTAGAAAGGAAGCTTTGGCCTACTATACCACGCTGGCCCGACGAAGTTTTCCTTCTCTTTGCAGTGTTGTTGTCCTGCGTAGTTTACTCCCTTAGTCGGCTCTTACAACACCCACGGGATGAATAGGGGTGGTGACACTCCGTATTCTTAATCCGTCACCACAGGGACGTTATTATTATTATACCTATTTAAGTGAGATTAATCACTTTGTATCTCTGCCTTGTACCTATTGTAAAATCTTACTTAAGACATTGTAAGTCTCCGTTTTTTTTTATTTCTTAATTTGAAACGAAAGTCAAGATGACGGATAGTCCTCAACAATTTGTGCCTCAGACCTTCGGCGACCCGATCAAATATATATGCAGCATTCTACATTATTTATTGATAAATCGTTTTCTGTATAAACTATTCGGTTATGGAATCCAAATTATGTTGTACATTATTCGAAATGAATGTTTTTTTATTTACAGGAACATTTGGAGACAAAACATGTGATGAACTCTCTAACGATTCCTCCAGAGTCTGAGGCGTGCGAGGATAGAAATATTTGATAAAATTATCTATAATTTAAGAAAACCTTGCAAACACTATTCATTTTTATTTGTTTATATGTCACATATCGCGTTACAGAAAGTTGTAAATTATATTTAATAGACAAGGTGCTGTAGAAAAACACATACCGTATCTAAAATGTAACCACATCAAATTTTAAGAACGTTGTGACCAATGTGTGGTCGAAATATATTAATAAAAAATTGATTTAGCTTGTACTAACTTCGATTTTAAAAGTTTTCTTGTTAAAAATGCTTAAGTGCACATTTTAAACTACATATTATGAACTTTCGTGTCCTCTCTTTTCAGTTATTTTCAAGTTAAATTCCAGATTTAAACAAAATGTCTATATTAGAAATATATTTTTTTTCAAAACTTAGCTTTCCACGTGACTTGTGGAGTCACTTGTACCTTATATGATCCCAAAATATGACCATACATTTATGATCCTTGAATGACACGTTCATGACATTTAAAATAAATAAGCAAAGCATAAATAATAGCAAAAGTTACATGGCATTTAAAAACTTACCAAAGATAAGATAAAAATATTAGAATTGTAATTAATATAAAGGATGTATTAGGTTATGTAACAAATGTTAGCTCTTAAATTAGTCTAAAAATCTAAGGCTTTATTTAATAGATAGGCAATCATTTCATACATTAATGATAAAACGGTGAGTGATAGATTATATTCATTTATGTTATCACTGTTTTCTTATGTTATAAATATTTCAAATGGTTACATAGCAGAAGTTTTTCCGTCCTAAAAGAATTACACTCGCTACATACCATCATATAAGATCTCAATTGACTGCACGGAGGCGTAGTGGTTTTAGCGGTCACCTCGCCGCTTCCTACTGCGCTGAGTGCTGTGGGTCCGGGGATCGGACATTGAACAACACTTTGTGTGATCCACAAATTCTTGATCTGAGTCTGAGTGTCCTTTGTGTCCGTTTCATGTATGTTTGTAAAGTCCCCCGCGACACAGGATTTATTCCTAGTACGTTCTGTTTTAAATAAAAAAATGAAATGGAATGAAAAATAAAGTGTATCCGTTTCGGATACAGTGAGGGAAATGGTTACGGATATAAGCTTTTTATCGGATTGTAATAGAAAAACATAAATACGTAATGATTTAGCGTGTGATGACGGATTAAGAAAACGGAATGTCTCCACCCCTATTCATCCCGCGGTTGTCGTAAGAGCCGACTAAGGAAGCAAACTCTGAAGGATAGCAGCACTGCAACGAGAAGGAAAACTTGACACAAACCTTGTACCAACCCGTCTGGTCAGCGTGGTATAGTAGGCCAAAACCTCCTTTCTAAGGAGAGGCCTATGTCCAGCAGTAGAGTATTAAAGGCTGTTGATGTGATATGGTGTGAACAATGAGAACAAAAAGAATTGTTAAATATTTCCTTTGAAAATTCTGGAATTCCTTCGAATATTACTGCATTGGACATATTTTATACAGACAATTTTTTTTTTCATCTTAAAAGACAACTCCCGCACTAGGAATATATCCTGTGTCGCTGGGGACTTTACAGACATACATGAAACGGACACAAGGACACCCAGACGCAGAACCACAATTTGTGGGTCACACAAAGTGTCGCCTCATGTGAGGATCGAACCCACACAACTCAGTAGTAGGAAGTGGCGCGGCGACCGCTTAAACCACTACGCCATCCGTGCAGTCACAGTCAGAAATGGTTCAGAATCAGAAATGGTTCTTCTTATCTTAGCAACTAATAATTTTGACCAGAGGTATTATAAAACTTTGTCAAATTTAACTTAATGAATAAAATAGTAGTATTATTCAATTTATGATCTACTTAACACCTTTAGTACCCACTTAACCACAAGCTTCGCAGAGGCGTGCGATAAAATATACGCTTCTAGGGACCTTCTTTTCATAACCAATAGTAAAAGCTATTTTAAGAATCAGTAAAAGTGATGTTTTTATGAGACTTTTTATTTTGCTAGCATAATAAAGTAAATGCGAGTACAATGTAGAACGCAAAGTGAACTCTTGGATAAAAGGTGTTGAGTAGATCACGTTTTAATACTTTTAACATTTTATAACCAATATCTAATACAATTATTTCTAAGATACAACCGATTAATAAGTAATTAATACCAGAAAACCTCTGTCAATGGTGATAATTCTGTTGTTAGAAAACTCTCTAAACTAATCTAAAAATCCCAAAAAAAATTGTTTAGTTATGTCAAACAACGTTTCCTATTCTGAAAACGTAATATTTGACAGGACAAAAAATTTTTTTTTAGTGATTTTTAGTTTAGTTTAGAGAGTTTTCGATCAACAGAATCAGCAACAATAACCGTCTCAATTAACTTAAAAAAAATATGGTTGCGGTTTAATAAATTATTTAAAGTATATTTAAAATTTCAACTGAATTTGCATGCCAATATTGTGAGAATTGGCTTAATTTTGTAATTAAAATACAAAAACAAATCACAATCACAAAATGGAGCATTATTTTAAAGGTACTTTAAAATCTGTCGTCGCTTACAACATATATTTTTTTGATGTTTATTTATTTAGAAGAGATACTTAAGCGACTCGTCACTATCACATTCAATAGAAAAGAAGTAACAGTTTTAGGTTCCCCACAGTGAACAACGATGATAACCGTTTTACTTCTGTGGTCTTCTACAACTCGTACTCACTTGTGCATAGTAAGTTTATTGGCCATAGGTAGATAAAAAACAATAATTATATAAATTAAGTAATGTGAGGCTCAAGTGGGATTGGGAGGGGCATATGGCACGCAAGACCGATTCTGGAGCCAGCAGTTACTCGAGTGGCAACCATGGGGTTAAAAACGTCCGCCGCGAAGACTACAGATGCGAGAACGATAGTTGATCGGAACTGAATTGTGACCGAACTTTTAATACGAGACCAATTCTTGTAATAAAAGTTCGGTCTCAATTCAGTTCTGTAGCCTTCTGATACTCATTTTATAAGCTTAATAATATATTTGTGCCTCAACGTTTTTGCCATTTATATGCTTAAATAAGGTTAGGAATAAATAAGTTTTTTTTAAGAGGTTTGTATATATACAACAATTAAACATGTAACATAACATCATCGAGTGAAGTTATTAAAAAAATTAATACCAAACGTTTTTTATTGATTTAGTTTTAATTATTATTCTATAAACTCAGTGTTATGGAATTCAATTTTATTGTATGTTCAAAGAAAGGTTGGAATAGTAAAAAGAAATAAATTTAAAGAAAGTGAAGAATAATTCAAGATATCGACCATGAATATTAAAATTCTTATTTAGATTTGAAACTATTTTATACACCCGAGGTGGTAAAATAGTTTTGTTTCGACTTTTTTTAAGGGTTAGGGTTGCAGGTTTTGGAGAGAATCAGCAGCTCCAATTTGTGCTGAAGGCAAAGTCCTTGACCTGTTTTATTTTTGAAATTAGAATGTTTGTTTTGTTAGTGAGCCATACTGCTGCACCAAAGAGTATTGACGATCTCGAGAGCGCGATCATTTGTCCTGTGTCTCTGTGTAGTTTATCTATAAAATTTATGAATGTACCATGTAAGTATGTTTATCAGTGGTCTGGTTGTCATAGTACAGGTTTAAATTATTAGTGAGGAGGTTCAAATTATTTTTATTAGAGTATCATACAGTAAGGGGTACATATGGAGTGTACATCTTAAAAATAATTTAAAATTGAAGGTTTCTCATGATTTAACAATACGCTTCCCATTTAAATATCTGCTACGTCGTAGTGTGTTTGCTACGCCGTAGTAAGACGTAGCAACAGTAGTAGAAATGTCATAAAATATACAAACAGTTGCCGCTAACTTTAAAAAACTGGTTAATAATAATCTTCTCATCATCATCATCAACAGCCTTTACTAGTCCACTGCTGGACATAGGCCTCTCCTTAGAAAGGAGGTTTTGGCCTACTATACCACGCTGGTCAGACGGGTTGGTATAGGGTTTGTTTCAAGTTTTCCTTCTCTCTGCAGTGCTGTTGTCCTGCGTAGTTTGCTTCCTTAGTCGCCTCTTACGACACCCACGGGATGAATAGGGGTGGTGACACTCTGTATTCTTAATCCGTCACCACACGGAAAAAAAATCTTCTATTCTAGTTTTAATATTCTTGTCTTTTAACTAAGTTAAAAGAAATGTGCTGTAAAAACACAGTTCCTCCTACTGTCTCCCTTTCCCTAAACATACATTACTTTATAGACAATTGTACTACATAAAAAATCTAAATAAAAGCTACATTTCAAATCATAATAATTTTATCCAGTTTTATCTGTTTCCCTTTCAGCTTACATTTAATTTACGGACACGAGTTAGACAGAGACATGAATAATAAATGCACAAACCTTCACGTAACAATCTACCTTCGCATATATATTAACGGAGTTCGGAGTACTACGTACTTACACTTTACGGGTTACGTGGTTCTTTTGCAAAATGATTTCGGGAAATATACTCAAAGTTTATTTATTTTACATTAGAGATAATGCCATTGGTTGAAAATTAAAAAGTAAGTAATAAGTTATTTAAGAGCAGACGACCGGATGGCGTAGTGGTTTGTGTAACGGACTGCTATTCTAAAGGTCGTGGGTTCAAGTCTGGCTCAATTCAAACATTTGTGTGCTTGAACTTTTAATGTTCGATTTGGTCTGGGTGTTTCTGTGTATAATATGTATGTACTTACAAAAAAAGTATATATGTATTTATATCAGTTGTCTAGTACCCATAGTACAAGCTCTGCTTAGTTTGGGACTAGATAGCGTTGTGTGAATGTGGTAGGATATTATTATTATATATTTTTATTTGGGAAACTAATAAGTGAGATTCATATGTAAGTGGTTTTATTATAAGATTGCTAGCTCTAACAGCATACTAGCCATGATAACAGAGAGGTTAGACTTTTTCTTTTTTTGACAACATGGGACTTTACAAACAAACATGAAACGGACACAAAGAACACCCAGA